TAAACATAAAACCATGTCTGCATTTGTGATCGGAGAAATGACAAACAACAAGCGCTACTCTACACTGCTCAAACCTCGCGTTTGAATCGTCAGTGGCAAATTCTTTAAATATGAAAACGTTGCCAAGTTGGAATTGCCCCACTTTATAGAAACAGCCTTTGAGCACAGACCCATTGTATGCTACTCTGCAGGTTCAGGAAACAGTCTTCCATAAAATACGTCACACACGGCAGGCTTGAGTGAGAGGAGACCGGCGGCCTTGAGAACGGAGCGGCCGGAGGATTCGACGAAGGAGCGGCCAGCGGGCACGCGGCAACCACATGTGACGACCCCGGGCTGGACTCCGCTTCGTCCACGGTGAAAGCCGATCCAGCGATGTATTTCCTCAGCGACCAGCACGGATCAGCTCTAGGCATGACGAAGCGGATATCATCCTCTTTTGGAAGGCCAAACAAAGTAGTTTCGCTTTCACAACTAAACACAGAGCATCTCCACAACATGGCGCCGGCGGCAACAACAATACTACAGTGAGAATAAAAGTTACGCCTTCTTTCTTTGCGTGACCATTTGGGCGGTGTAATGCAAATCTTCCCACACAGTGACGTAGATATGTGGGGGCGTGTTTAAACGAGCCATTTTAGGAGGGCGTGGACAAGTCTTAACTTTTATAAAGAATATCTCTTTGGATTTGAGACTTTAGTCTTTGCAACTTTACAGATCTTCTTTATGCACCAAGAGCTTGTAACACTCCAAAGAGAAAGGACAAATTGAAATCGCATCATATGACCCCTTTAAAGTCACAATGTGACTGTTATATGATTTTTATAAAAAGCCAACCTAGATTTTGGCATTTTTATAAAAAGGCAAGGTTAGTTCAGATCAAACAGTAATCCCAAGAAAACTTTGTGATAAGAATTCATTATAAAATCAAATTAAACCAACACGAATACAAAGATTACATTTATAAGAATTCGGCATTTGTGTTTCGAACTAGATTTTTAAAAGATTTCTTGATCTCAAACTCTTAGACATCATTATTTGTAAATGACCTGGAACAGACTTTGAGATCACGTCAACATTCCAGTTCTGAACTTCAATAATAAACTATACATTCAAATATCACTTAATAGATAATCTTTCTCTCTAAAATGCTTCTCTAAAAACACTTTTAGAGACACCAGCACTTTTTTTTTTTAAGCGACACTGCAACATGTTTACAGTTTGTCCCCAGATTGCCAGGGCACTGAAAAGCTTACTGAGTTTCAAGAGAACTCCTCTCTGCTCAGTTAAGCTGGGCCTTAGCTAGTCTGTCTCAGTATGCCACATGTCAGAGGGATTGATGGTCTGCCTCAATCCACTCGGAGTGGGACACAAGCCTCGTCTGTCTCTAGCCATCAGATGCAGATGGCACAGCTAATGGTGGCATCAGTCAGTGACAGGAAACATGGGAGGAACAAGCAGAGAGAGAGAGAGAGAGAGAGAGAGAGAGAGAGAGA